GTCCGTTTGGGTTTATATATATATGCAGCTAGGGTTTGAGGTCCACTAGTGATTCATTATTCTTGCTAGCACAAGAAAGAAACTCTAGCAGTTGCTGTCTTCTCTCTGTGTGGATTTCATTGGAGGCTGGACAATTGGACAGCTGTGGGAGGTAGATTCAAGCTGCTGGAAAGGAACAACGCGAAAGAGTTTTCAAATCACAAGTAAAGGTATATTTCTCATCACAGTTTTTATCTAAATACAAAGCTGAATCCTGAATGGGAATTGAAACTTGTTAAATTCCGCTGTGCATGTTTAAGTAAATTCCCAACAGGGGACAAGTCACATTGTGCAAACAGAACAGCAGCCACGTTCTCAATAACAGAAAGTGAAACTTTAAAACTGAAACTAACAATCTTTGATTGCAACGTTAAGTCACAAGTTCGAGAAGGAAAAATTAAAATTCCTTTGAGGCCTCGTACATGCCCGACAGAATACAAAGAGCATCACCATAGAAATTTCAAAGTTATTAACCAATGTAGAAATCCAATACATACATTGAAAGAAGATTGTTAACTCTAGTGCAGTTTACAAAGAAAACCCATGAGCACAATTCAACTTCAACTCTAGTTCTGATTACATAAACATGACAATTATAAGCTTAGTCTTCTAATCAATTACATGGGAGGAACAAATTCACGAATCTCTTCCCTTCAGTTTTCTATTCTCTTCCGTATTTCCTTTTTCTTTGCGGATGGTTATATTGAGGGATATATCTAAGTTCTGTCATTGAAAAATTATGCTGCAAAAACAAAATTCAGTAAATAGAAGTTGTGAGAAATTAGGTTAATGCAATGCAAGCAGATTTTAAGCTTTAATTCGCAAAACATGAACAATCCTATAACATATTTGTAGCTTCAATTCATAATTGTCAAAGCTTGAATAGTCCTGTAACATTGTTTCAATTGTATGAGCAGTGACAAAAATCAGAATTTCCATAAATTTACTACAGAGCTTTTTGAACTTTGATAAATTTACACAACTATCCAATTTCTCATAAACGTAGAATCATAGAATCAGATGTGCAATGGAGGAGCATTACATCTGTTCAAATCCGCCACTTTGATCAGAATTATGAAGGCTTCTTATTTGAATGGAGTTAATAGAAAGCTTCAATCATTAAAGAATGAAATAAATTGAGAAGTATTTCAAATATAAGCAAAGATCGACAACATTTTCATAATAGATAGAAGAATAACTCATAAAAAATCAAATGGATTTAGAAAAATGGAACCCATTTCAAATTTTAGCAAGGGTTCAGCCAAAAAATAAATAAATAAAATATATATATATATATTCGATGTCACCATCGATGATGTGCTTGACGTCGGTGTGGTGGTTGCAACGATTGTTGGGAAAGATTTTTGGGAAACAATGGAGTAGGTTTTGGAATCTTCACTTTCTTAAGTAAACGAGGGTTCCCCAAGTTTTAGCCCCCGTTTGCCCCTTTGAGAACTTCATTTTAATTTAATTTTTTTTCTTTCTTACTTTTAATCACACAATTTTCAATAAAATAATATTACACTCAAATCGAAAACTTTTCAACCATACAATTTTCAAAAAAATATTAATCCCCCATTATAAATTCAAATAATGGGAGCCAACCAGTGGCTTAATCTTAAAACAACAATCTTTCAATTTTTGGTCTTCTGTATATCTTAAAATAGCAATCTATCAATTTTAATCTTCCCATAATCGTGACTCTGAAGGAAATGTACACTTATTTGGAAACTAAAAACTTTGCAGGTTTCCAAGCGAAACTTGATCTTATTTTAACACAAGGGTCGGACAATGTTGACAGCCACGGGTGCAAAATTAACCCTGTTAAGAGCCACGTTAGACTCCGTTAGTCCATGTAAGCTACTTTTGAAATGGTAAGTTAACAAGTGAGGGATGGAGTAGAACTTTTAAAAGTTCAGTGAGTATTTGGGTGCAATTTGAAGTACATTGAGTAAAACGTCACCATACCTAAAGTTTAATGTGTTGAATCAATTAACTCAGATGCAAAACCACAATATAGGGATTCTAGAAAGAGAAATGAAAAATGAACTAGGGCTGGGCAAATCTTT